CTAGCCTTTTCAGGGAATGACTATATGTGGGTAACAAAATCTACAATAACTATTTTTCTAAGCAAAGTTCAGTAACAAATGGTGGTCACTTTTATTTAAATAAATATAGATTTATTGCCTCTGATCTTTAAATGATTTAGATCACTTTATATTTCCAATTCCATTGTCCATAGTTGGTATACATCTCATCTTAGCCCAAGAAGCTTCTGGCTTGTATTTTCTTCTTTAGCCATAGTGTTTCTCCCACTTGAAGTGTAACACTGTTGGCATGTATTGATGGCTTTCATATTGCATGGTGACAATGCCACTACTCTGGAGCAGAAATGTGGTCAAAAAGACAGACATGACTGTCCATCCTTTCTGGAGAACATTGCTGTGATAAGCGACACTCACTGGCGCCTTTTCTATTTTAGCTCCCAAGGTTACTTTAGTGTACATCTTACTTCCTAAACATACTGTTGTTAAGTTTCTGAAGGTTTTGTTTGACTTCATATCCTAGAGTATTGCTTCTGGGAGTTTTGCTTTGCATGCACACAAAGAAACAGTGGTGTTGACATTCACTATCTTATTTAGAGTATTTTATCTAAGTCCAATGTACTGTGTGATTTAACTGTACTGTGTAAATTAAATACAAATGAAAATAATGTGCTACCTTCCTAGTGCCTGTTTATGAGAAAAGTAAACTTATGTCCTGGTCCATGTTTCAATGTGCTTTTGGAAGTTAATGACTGAGGACAGAAGTCACTTACATTGTATTTTAAAACCTTTAGCCAAAAAAAAAAATCACTGTGGCTAAAATATGATATTTTATAAAATTCAACTTGTAATGTCATATGGACCAACTTCAATATATACATTTATGGGGCTGGGGACTGAGCTCAGTGGTGCCACACCTGCCTCACAAGCATAAGGTCCTGAGTTCGATCTCCAGTGACCCCCGAAAAAGAAAGAAAGAAAAAAATATATATTTATGTACATATAGTAAATTGCTGCTTTTAAAGGCTAGAAACATCAGAAGCAAGGATAATAAGTTAAATTGGTTAAATTGAGTAAAAAATAATTAATAGGAAACAGGAGCATACACTTAAACAAGAATAAAGAGAATCTGTTTGTAAACCATAGTGAGAATTGTCACAAAATGTAGAATACTTATTAAAGAATGTTAATAAATACGATCATATCACTGTTTAAAACTTTGTTTAAATTAGATACCGTATAGTCAAGCCACATAGTACACTAGAAAATGTCTACAATTTCTTTCTTTCATCCTTTCTTTCTCTTGTGGTCTCACTCTCTCCCTCTCTCTCTCTGTGTCCCTCTGTCCCCCTTCACCTCTCCCCTCTTTCTTGCTTTCCTCTCTCTCTCTCTCTCTCTGCCGTTCAGTTTTTATCGAACATGTTACAAAATGAGGAGTCAAAAAGACAAAGCCCGGACTCCTCAGATTCTTTTTCCTTTGTTTCCTCCTCCTTCTCCTCAGCTGGGCCAGCAGCGGTGGAAAGGGCAGGGCCTCCTGCAGATGCAGCATGAGCTGCGGTAGCAGGGCCCCTACATTGCGGGTGAGGCTCCCAATGTTGACGTTGGCCAGGGCCTTTGCAAATTAGCGGAGCAAAAAGGTTCAACGCTGACCCCAGCCGCTTTAATGAGGACATTAATCGCATCCTCTGTGACTGTCACCTCGCCGTCGTGGTGCAGGATAAGAGTGGAGTAGGTGCGGGCTGCGGGCACGGTGCCAGTCGTGGGATGAAGTGAAGGCCTCACCTCAAGGCAGTCTTAGCTCATCAGAGGAACCGAGCACCTTGGCGGCAGCTGAGGAAAGGGACCAATTTCTTTATTAATTCTTCTATTTACGCATTCTTTTAGAAACATGTATTGAACACGCTGCATGTGCCACTTGCTATTTTAGGCTCTGGAGATCTAATAATTAGCAAAACAGATAAAAACACTGCCTTCACAGAGCTTACAGTGGATTGGTGTTCACTATATCTGAGAAACTCCAAATTTAAAAACTCAATAGGAAAATAATCATGTAATTCAAGAAAGTAAAAGTAAAAATGACCAATGAATTTTGTACCTCATTCAAAACCCCAGTAATAACTAGAAGGCACAAATGCGATGAGATAGCAAAATATTCACAAAAATCCGGAAAAATTAGAAAGATCAACAAATCAAACGCTGGCAAAAGTATAGGACAGTGGGTAGCTCAGGCTCTGAGATGAGCATGCAAAATGGTGCAGTTCTTTTGGAGATAATCTGGCAGAATTTCCTAATTTGTAATTCTGTTAGGCATGGATCTGCTATGGATTTAATGTGTACCCCCAAATTCTTGTATTAAAACCCAAGCCTCAGTGTGATAGCAATTGGAAACTGTACCTTTAGAGGGTAATTAAGTTTGAATTAGGTCACGAGTGCAGGGACTTCATGGTGCTCTTCATGCCCTTATGGAAATAGAAAGATTTCACATTCAGGGACTGAGATCATGGTAGAGGGCAGCTATCTGGAAACACAAAGCCCTCCCCAAGAACCTGACCAGGATTCCCTCTGCTCTGGAACCTTCAGGCTCCCGACTGGGTGAAGGTGATTTTCTGTTGTCTAAACTACTGTGTGTGATATTTTGTTATGGCAGCTCAAAGTCGTGATTTCTTAGTCCATCTTGTGCTGCTATAGCAAGTACTTGAAATTAGGTTATTTACAATAAAAAAATGATTGCCTCATGTTTTGGGACGATGGGAAGCTTAGAGTCAGGATACTGGAATCTTTGAGGGATTTTTTATTATGCCATCATGGTGCAAGAGGTGGGAGGACAGGAGTATGAGCTAGCATTCCCACTCTCTCTGAGCCGCTTTTGTAATGGCAATAATCTGAAAGTGGGAGGAACCCATACAACCGAAACGCTTATTTTTTGACCCCACTTCTTAACATTATCACAGTGGGGATTACTTTCAGCACAGGAATTCTGGGGGACACATGAAAGCTTATAATTGTGTTCCTTTTTGTAGTAATTTTTTCAATGGGAAAATGGAGGCAGTCCGATATTTATTAGAAATTGCATGGTTAAATGTGACATTTAACTATACTTGACTATTATAGCCCACCTCTACTACTGACATGAAAGGATCAAGAAAATGGATAAATAAAAAGGGTTAAAACAATATTGGAATATGATCTTATGCATGTAAAAGAAACATAAGTCCATAAAACAAAGATATATATTTTTGTCTATGTGCATATATATATATGTTTGTTTTTTTTGTTTTTTTGTTTTTTTTTTTTTTGGTTCCTGGGATTGAACTCAGGTCCTTGTGCTTGTGAGACAGGCAGTGGCATCACTGAGCTAAATCCCTGGCCCATATATTTTTTACATGTATATTTATGAATACATATAAAAAGGTATGTGAATAGTGATTGCCCCACTGAATTGGGGCCCCACAAGGGAGAATGAAGTCCAGAAGAACTTCAGTATCATCTAAATTAAAAAAAATTCTATGCAAAAAGGACTTCACTCAATAATGTATAATTAAATTTGTTGTAAATTAAAAAAAGTTGCAGAAAATAAGACTGTGGATAGAAAAGAGAACTGGCAACTGAAAATATTTGGAGAATTTAAGTCTCTAACACACGTAAACATAGTGGATTTAGTCAGATTTGCCTGATGTACAAGTCATAGGAGAGAAAATTGAGAAAAAAATGGAAAAGTGAGTTGAAACTATTTATTAATGGTTTTTAAAGTTCAACTACAGATCAACTTTTAAGTGGATATATGTGATTTGGGGCCTGTATTTTATGAAGTTTTATCTGTTGTATAGATGGACTGGAGAGAACAGAGAGAAGGATTTTTGTGTGCGTGCATGTGTAGGAATATGAAAATTTTAGGAAAAACGTTTTACTCTAGTACATCTCATAAAGCCAAATTACAAATATATTTCTGGTGGATGTTTGCATAGTTCTTACCAAGTGCAAGTCCCAGAACAAAAGAGCAATCCTGTCCATGTCCTCACTTTGTCTGAAACAGAAGGCATAGTGTACCTTGTTGCTCTGCAGCAAATAAAGTGTAAGTCCAAAAGGGGCTGTACATCAGGTCCTACATAGCCATTGAACTACGTGCACAGAAACTCAATTGATACTAAAAGCACAATGCTCTGTTATTCGGTAAATGACTGCATTTATTTCCTTTCCTCTTTTTTTTTTTTTTTTTTTTTAAACAGGGATTAAT